ACTTAGTGTGGAGCTTGTCTCTTAGCACTCCATCAGGTCCCCAGTCTGTTCTCATCAGTCTTCTACTACCGTAAAAAATCTTACCAGCCTACAGGAAATAAGAAAAGATATCACTGTTTTAATCATATGAGCAGAGACACATAGGTAGCCATGTTAGTCTGAAGTCAAGCAGAAGGCAGGGTAGCTTTATACTTCATGGACTAACTAAATTATACGTGTGTGTGTGTGTGTGTGTGTGTGTGTGTGTGTGTGTGTGTGTAAAATATACATGCACAACACAACACACACACACACGCGCGCACATATAATTTAGTCTATGAATTGCAAAGCTACCCTGCCTTCCACTTGACTTCAGGCTACCTACGTGTCTCTGCTCATATGATTAAATCAGTGGTATCTTTCATTTCCTGTAGGCTGGTAAGAATTTTTAGGGTAGTAAAAGATTGATGAGAACAGAAAGGGAAACTGATTGAGTGCTAAGAGACAAGCTCCACACTAGGTTCTCATGACAGTTTCTTCTAGGTCTTTGAGGCAAATCAACATAGCTCCATTTATTTCAAAGGAACAAGGGCAATTTACAGCAGCTGGGGATATATATAATGTGTGGGTGGGTGTGTGCGTGTGTAAGGTTTTGTGAGCTGGGCCTCACTTTATCACAAAGTGTAAGCTGCAGCTCATGAAAGCTTATATTGTATACATCTCCAGTTTAGTTAGTCTGTAAGGTGCAAATCTCCCCTGCCTTCTGCTTAATCATATGAGCCAAGCAGTACTATGCTAAGGACAGGCTTTGTGGTTTTTTTTCCACACTGTAGAACAAGCCCTTCTCTAATAGTACAATAAACAGAATGGCCATTCTCTTTCCGTTTCAGCTCAGCTTTGACAGCCATGTTATTGGCAGCTGTAAGATGCTGTAAAAGTTGTAGGGTAAACATAACTGAATTGGCTGCAGATCTCTTTGAGAAAGCTGTTTGGGTTTTCTGAGACAACTGACATGTAAAAGACTGCAAGGATTATTTAGAACAGGTGCAGTAAGAAAATGTTGCTGTTGATTTGTCCATCTTAAGACCTCACATGTGTGTAAAGAACAGTTTCCAAGCCTTTAGATTGCATCACCTTGCCATAAGGAAGTGCTGCTGATAGGACACATTGGGATTCCGTCCATGTGCTAAACTTCTGCCAAAAAAGGCTACTATTAAAGCCAGAGCATTGCAGCTCTGCTCTTAGCAGCAGGCAGGCCTGTGGATTCCTCGCTCTCATCTACCATTAGGGGTAAGCAATCTGCAATGTTGATTGCAATCCACTAGTGCACCACTAGGAGACACCATTGCCAACAACCTGAGGGTAACATTACCCTCACTTCAGAAAAATCTTAGCAGTAGTTAGCTTGCGTAGGGGGCTACATTTTCCACAGGGAGATTTAAGTGCACAATGCCTATTAATACCAGTAGAAATATCAGTGGTGTTTCTTTCTGACTGCACCATTGTAATGAGCTGCAGCCTGACCTGCCCTGTTCATTGGCCTCTTCCTTCCATTTTGAAGAACTGGTATCCCCTATTGTGCTTCCCTTCCCAAATGAGATGCTGCCACACTCCAGACATTGCTGTAATGGAACTTCTGCCACCAGCACTGTCCTTCATCGTTTATGACGCCAGCATATGGCACAAATTGACTTTAGCTAAGTACTTAGATTTCCCCTACTTCCCTTTCCAAGATAAGCCCTTTCATTCTGGTCACATTACTTATCCAAGCTGCTTCTGTTTCTAGGTTCGTAAGAAGCTGGAAGAACTCACTGAAATTAAGTAGCAGGCTATTTGGCTTTCTTGGTCTGGTACTTCTCCTCTTTGATTTCACTGAGAAGTCATACATTAGCTTAAACATGGAATCACATTTACCTTGCTGGAACCAGGGTGGGGTTTTAAACATAATGGCAAATTGATTTCAGCGCCTTTGCAGATACCTGCACCTGTAAATCATCAAGTCATCCTGATCCCTACTGTGTTTTGTTTTATTGTAAATTCAGGATCAGGAAGTGGAACTATATTGAGAGCGAACAGAGTTTATAAGGTAACTGCCTGACTTGAAGTATCCATGGGGAAAAAACACGGCCAAAAGTTGTATTGCTTATCACTAAACCCTTATCTCTGAAGTAGGTAATCACATATATAAAGTGTTGATCATACAATGGATTCCACCCTTCTCCTTCCCCAGATACTGAGCCATGAGAAAACTGGTAGACTGGCCCAATTCCAGGCACCTACCATTGGACTCCCATAACAACTCCAGTAATAATAGAGTGGACAGCAGGCACTTCCACTGCTACTCTTGCACCAGCTGTGGAAGGGGGAAGAAGAGGGTAGCTCATCAAATCCAACATTTACTTTTACCCAACAGCTACCACAGCTAATGCCACCTATGAAACTATTTCAACCCATACTGAAAACTTACAGAGATGTAAGAGTAATGGGCACAACATTAAAAAAACAAAAACAGAAAACACGCCCCCACCTCAAAAATAGCCAAACCCAGGAGCTTCGCAGGTCCTTTTATATTGCTGCAACAATTCTAAGGAACCAGAGCAATATTTAGACTCCAGCCTCATGTAATTCCTTCATTCATTCACTACAGTATCCTACAAGACAAGAATCTCCAGCTCACATCTTATTTTCATCTGTCTGGTAATCAGGTGCTGGACAGCATCTATTGAGACTGGTACCTCACCATGAGAAGCTGGTTATGGACATCTACAAGCTGATAAACTATGCTGGAAGGAATGCTAATTCTAGCAGGGACATCCATACTGGTTCAGTTAATGCTTGGACATCAGACAAAAACAGCCCAAAGTTGAATGCAACATTTCAGGTGTGATTGCACCAGTGCTTGAGAGAGAGGGAACACTGCAGCCCTGCTCTGCAAATTTACCCCTTTGCGAAGTAGCTGAAGTCTTTGGTGTTTCTTCTCCTCCGATGCATTGCCTAATTCACTAATATAAGCCCTGGATGTCTCTTCAGCTGCACTGCTTTCCGGTTTCTCTCTCCCACTGAACATCTGTTCTTCAGATTACTATGTAAATCATCCTTTTGATTTAGTCTCCCTAGTCGTTTTGTCTGCTAATTCAATCAGATACAAAGTACTGGGTGTCTTAAAGTAAAAGAATAGTTCATCCATATGAAATTAAGCATCTATAAATAGGCACACTAGAAAAGGGGTAGCTGTTTCAGTGATCACATTAAATGGGATGCTGTTATACCTGACCTAGTTTCTCACCTAAATTTTATGGAAGCCCTGACTTAATGAGGGAACACTGCACAGATTGTATTTCACTTGTTCATGCTGGGGATAATAACATATTAGCAATACCCAGCTCTTATCCAGCTCCTTTCATTAGTGGACCTCAAAGCACTTTGCAAAGGGGGTCAGTATTGTTACCCCCATCTTAAGGAGAAAATGAGACAGACAGAGGGGAACTGACTCACTAACAGGCCAGTGGCAGAACCAAGAAGAGGAGCTGGTTCTCCTGAGCCCCTACCCTGTGATTTATCCATCTGTTTGGTAAGTGATTCAGTCTGATAAGGAGTCACATTAGATCCAGGTCAAAGTACAGGGATTGTACTCTTGACTTGATCCCAGGTAGGAGGCTTTCTTTCCATGTTGATGCTGACATATAGCCAGCAGGGAAAGGAGAGGGGGACACTTTTAAATCTCTCATGATTTTATGTCACTCTTTGGGCTGATTCAGTGGCCTTTTTCTTTTATAGCAGAATATATTCAGAAGCCTAGCAAGTCATTGGCAGCAAAGAGGGCAGTCAGGTGCTCAACTCCTGTTTGCTTAGAACAGGATTTGGAACATGGTATTAGGTCAGGGGCGGGCAATTATTTTGGGCAGCGGGCCGTTTACTGAATTTTGGCAAGCCATCAAGGGCCTCATGACAGGCAGCTCAGGGCAGATTAATATTAATTTTCTAAATTTTTTAGGGGCCTCGCGAGCCAGATAGAATGGCCTGGCGGGCCGCATCTGACCCCTGAGCCACATTTTGCCCACCCCTGCGTTAGGTGAACAGGGCTCTCGTGGCCACTGCCCTTTCTCCTCTGCATCTAATCTAAGTGTCTCCAGTTTATTTCATCCTCTCTTCTGACTTCAGGTAAGGGATTGGGAGGGCTACAGTGGCCAAAATCAAAGCCCAGTTTTGATTTAGCTGGTTTCAGCGCTCAATCATAGGTATAAGGAGCATCTCCCTTCCAAGCGCGCTGGCTCCTCATGAACTCAAGAGAAACTGAACATGCAGCTGAACGTGTTGCTGCCTGAAGATGTTTGCCAAAGACCTCCTACATCTTGCTCTGAATTACAAGTTTCATGTTCTCTAAGCAGTAGGCAGGAAGCAGCTCTTTTTTTTCCCATTGGCTGGTGGAAAATGATAATGGCTCCAATTGATACAATTTGATCTTTCACCGGCTGCAATAAATGGACTCTGAGCAGCGCTCTGCTTTGCCAGTTTGCTTACTCACTATGAGCAGTCATCAGTTTGAATGGCTGACTAAAGACTGGACAAAGGAAAAAAAATCTTTCCCAACTACTAATGTTAATTTTTTTAAAATGTTAGGGGAACACTAGTGCTCTTGACAGATTTGGAATCAAAAGCTCTGGGATCTCAATGATGCCTTTAGGAGAAGTACAATACCTGCCACAGTACAAGCTTCCTACACTGAGCTGGGCTGCTGTCTACTGGCAGATAAATACAGTTCATTTTCCCTGACCATTGTGTCCATTGCCAAGGTTGCAAATACATCTACTCATTGCAAACTGTGCTCACTGCTTTCCAACTCATTTAATCATGCCTCCAGCCACCAGGTTATGCTGCTTTTCCATCACTTCTAACCTGAACAAGCTGTCAGTTATAACCTCAAGGTAAATTCTTCATATCCCACTACAAATCCCAAGGCAGTCCAGTTGCTTTTACCTTTCCATGAACATAAACAGTCTGGAGCACTGACATTTCATGAGGACATCTGTGATAAATTGGGTTGCAGCTGCATACTCTTTGGGCCACTGCCTTTTGCCTATGTTTGTATAGCGCCTAGCACAACATGCCCCAGTTGATGGCTGGGGCTGGCAGGTTAATAGGCACATGGATTGCTTGGTTGCTTTGATCCTTTATGCAGCACCTCATGACTACTGCATGCCTTTAAAGGTACTTTTTTAGGCACCACAGCTATGACTTTCATTTCCCTGCAAAACTTTACATGCTTCTTTGCTGCTAGGTCTACAAATCAGAGCCAGACTGTGGCACACCAATTATATGATTAAAGATTATAGCTGAGGTCTAACAAAGCTTCTTGATTGACCATTTTCAGCCAAGTACAGCAGTGATTCTCAACCAGGGTATTGTGGCACACTAGAGTGATGCAAGATCCTTTGAATGGTGTCGTGAGGTATGAGGAGATAAGCAGATAATCTCAGGTTCATGCTCATCCCTGCCTGGCCATTCCTCCACCCCCACTGCCTGACCCCTCTGCAAGGAGGTAAGCACTGTAATAAATACTTTCATTTTTTAAATGGAGTGCTGTTTAATTCAGAAAAGTTATAGAGCAGTGTCTCAAATCTAATGAGGGGTGCAATGAGCCTAAAAAGTTGCAAACCACTGCAATAGAGAATCCTTGTATTTGGCAATGTTTACCACGAATGCTAGGTACAGATATTCAAAAAGCCTGAGGAAAATCAATCTAAGTTACATGGTTTTCTGTAAGCAGCATAGTTTAAATCGGTAGTGAACAGCACACACATTCACCCTTTGGTGGGGGAGGGGTGGTAAATCTTAGACTGGGTTCTGCCAGCCTATGTGTGCCAAACTTCTTTTCTGTTATGGATATAGACCAGTTTCCAGTCGCTTATACTGGTAAAAGGGTAATGGCTGTTCCGGATCAAAGGGTGCAACAGGCAGGTTGCAGGAAATAATTGGCATCTCTGATATCACTGATAAGCAACTGCTGGCAAAAGCTGACTTTTTAATTGCTAACCACTGTAATTCAATTCTTCAGTCAGGGACGGGAACCCACGAAGGTGGTTAGCAACTAACTCATCGCTAGCCAGTTTAAGTGCTTTGCTGTATTAAACAGTATGTACTGTATGGATGAATGCTGAGATCTACAGCTGGGGTGGGTCAGCCTAGCTCCACAGTAGTCTATTGAGCTAGACTGATTTGTACCAGCTGCACATCTGGCCCTATGTGACCACTATCAATTCTTAGCTGGGGTGGCATTACTCTTCATTTAGTTTAGTCCAGCACTACAACAGCCACCATACAACATCCCCCAGCAGTTCATCTGCTTCAGGAACCCAGTGCAAATGACCAATAAACTCCTTTTCAGATTAGGTCCCCTCTTCCTAAAAGTCTGGCTTGATAACATTCAATACCCTGCATCATTTGTAACTTGGAGAGAAGCAGTGGGGGGGGAGAGTGCTCAAATAATTCTAAAATGTATTTCTATCATAACAGCCATTGCTTTCTATTTAATAGTCCTGCACCCACTCTGAAAATACAGATCAGAAAATTTTGATTGTCCTTACCTCGCTTACGATGGATGAATGGGGATGCCTATACACCCAGCCATTCTGGCATGTGGTAAGTGGCACACTGCCCAAGCTGCGATTGGTAAAGTGGGCCAGTGGGTTGGCACAGCTCACGGAGATGTTGTTCCAGTCAATGTCAAATCTCTCACATTGCCCATTGGAAGACCTGTTCACCAGATTCAGAGATGGAACAGTTAAGTTCTTTTCCTCTTCAAGGGTCCATCCACATTTCTTGCTTACGTCTGCTGCACCGGGGATCCTGCACCAATACGGCTCTGGAGTGTGCCCAAGAAATACCACTCCAACAAATAGAAAAGAAAAAGTTATGCCTGTCTGGCAAAGGAGGAAAAAGACCCTCTTTTGGAACCTTCCAAATTCCCCAGCTTCTTTTAACACCTCATCAAAAGACGGCATTGTGTGCAGTAGTTTTTTAACCCAGAGAGATCCAAGAGATGTCAAAGCTAGCTTTCAAACTTTGCAACTGCTGCCAGTACTTCCTATAAACGTAGCTGCGTGGAGTCTCTCACTCACTCGCTCTCTCACTCTCTCTCCCCTCACACACAGAGGAAATCAGAGTAGCATAAGCCACTCTGAAACAGAGCAAAGTTACACACACACACACACACACACGCCTACACACACAGTTACACTATGTCAAGTGGCGTGAGACTTACACACAGCAGTTACAAGCGCAATTTGAAGTGATCAAACACACTGTAAGAAAGAGGGGGTGTGCGTTTGCTATCTATCCAGAATGTTAAACAGATTATGTAATAAAAACAGTTAACCCTCTATTGACAGACAAGTGACAAATGTCAGGTCAGCAGGCAGGGGAATGCTGTTGCTGCCCGTATCACTGGAGCCCATTCTATAGTGTATTAAAAAAAAAAAAACAACAGAGAAGAAATTGCTGCAAAAGTAGAAGTGAATGTTTCTGTTGGCATTCTGTATGGCAGGGACAGAACAGCTTCCATAGACAGCTAAAAAGTTGCTTCTTCAGCAAACAGAAGTTACAGCTGCAGTAATTAGTAATCCAAAGTACTGTGTCACCATCTCTGCAGCTGGAACTAGAACTGACCTTCCCTTCTAGAGGATAATTGAAGGGAGTTGCTCATATACTGTATTCTCTAAATGCAGAGTTTTTAAAAAATAAACATCTAGCTGTGGATCTACCTGTCTTCGAAGGTTGCTAAAGAACCTTGCTCATCTGAGCATCAGAGATGCTTCCCAAAGATTTAAACAACAATCCCTCCTCTCTTCATCTTATCTAAAGGAAATGTAATTATTTTTATGAATAACTTGAGTGGGGGGTTTCAAGGTGGAGGAGTGCAGGAAACAAGGGATCGTGAGGGGGATGGGTTGTGATTTTGTGTGCACATGTACAGCACTTCTTGAGGGAAAGTCTAAGCCAGTGAAACATGGTCTGCATTTAATTTTGCAAGCGGTGAGCTTTGGGCTCATGGGTTAAAGAGTGCGTTTTCAAGTCAAGCTTCTGTGAAAGTTATTCTTCTGGCAATTACCCAATTCTTCTTAGTCACGGTTTTCAATCCTGAAAGATTAAAATGGTAGAGGTAGGAGCAGTCTCTCAATAAGATAGATCCAATCCCATGAAGGGCACTATCAGGGAGATTCCATACTATATGGGAGCCCACAGCAAACAGTATGAAGTGTTCACGGTGACTTGGGTTGCCATGCAGAGAAACTGTATTTGGTCTCAGATTAAGCCTCTTTTTCAGGGGCTGAGGGGGCTAGATTTCATTCCTGTTTTTGAGTTGCAATAATCAAGCACAGATGCATGGTCATTGTGACCAGGCCTGTGTCCAATGGAATGGGGTGCAGGCTTTTGACCAGTTTCAGACAAGGGATGGTAGGGATTTTTTGACACAGGGCTATTTGTGAAGCCAATACAATTGAGAGGAGTCCAAAAGAGAATGATTATTATCTCTGCAAATCTCAAGGACTGGGGAAGTCACTTTTTCTCAGGATAATCAGTAGCTAACGAGAAACTTGCAGGGTGCTGAGGCGAATGCTTATCTGAGCACAATCCAAATTCCAAACAACTTATAAGGTGGTCACTTGTGTGGGAAAATTGCATTTAAAATCCTAACATTTCACAAGCATGAATTGAAGAGACCTCATCTAGCCACCCCTCCCCCTCCTGATGCCAGATTTTGTTTTTAATCTGAAAAACCTAAAAGACTAACAACATTTCTGAACCTTCATCCCTTTTGTCTGACAACCCTGCATCTGGAAGTTATTACAGAACAACAAGACCTGCATCCAGTTGACAAGCTCAGTTCTCTTGCTTGCAGGTCAGTTTCCTAATGTTTTATTCTGAGATACCATCACTCGATCTTTCTCTCCTGCTAGACCTGGTCAAGCCAAAGGTGGGATGGCAATGCCAAGAAACATATGAAGACTTCTTAGGTGCATTAGAACATGAAATAAGGAGTCTGCTTCCCTACATAGAAATGGATAGCACTCTTTCGATGGCAGGGGGTCAGACTGGCAGGCAGGGGGTCGGACTCAATGATTTGTTGAGGTCCCTTCCAACCCTAGCATCTACGAATCTATGGAAACCTATCTGTGTATTTTAGAAGAGATGCCACTGTGACATTTATTAGTCACGTTGTTTCTGACAATAACATTAGGAGTCATAGTTTTCAGTGGAAACTGTACAGCAGAAGCAGCAATTGGAAAGTTACTACATGAGGCAAACAGGCTTAGTTTCTTTTAATGTAATAGTGTACAGGAAGGGAAAACAAAGGGATTTGAGCTACTGGACCAGCTGGTATAAACAAAAATCAATTAAATCAGCAATGTGATGGATGAAACTAGCTATGTGAGATGGTACTCTAGGGACACCTAGGATGTATCTACAAAAGATGTGTTAATGCACATTAGTCTAAATTAATGCGCATTCAGAGTGCACATCTACATGTGTGCGCCCTTAATGCGCATTAACTTAGACTAATTGCACCTAAATTTGATACCTGCAAATGCAGGAGGAGGGGGTCAGGAAAGGCCTCCTGCAGCCTATGCCCTAGCCCCTGCTGGCAGGTATGTGGCTGTCCTGGGGCCTGGGCAGGGGTGGGGTGGGGTGGCCTGCTGGAGCCACTAGGGCCAGCACCATGACCAGCAGGAGCATGGGATGCTGGTCATCACTGGCAGGGGCCAGACTGGAGTAGCGGGGTGCTGGGCATCGCTGGCAGAGGCAGCGGCAGGGGCAGCCCTGGTGTGTGGAGGCGGGGTGGGCAAGGAGGGAGCTGCCGTGTGCTTCCCCTGTGCTGGGCACATGGTTCCTGGGCAGGGAAGGGGCTGGCCAGGGATCAGAGTTTCCCAGATGGCTACCAGGTGCTGGTATCTGGCTCTGGCTACAGCATAGCTGCCAAGTGCTGGCAGCCATGTGGCCAGAACCTGGAGCTCTCCCTTGTGGCCACAGGGGCACATGGCAGGGCTTCAGGGACTTGAGATTAACTTTAGTATGCATTAAATTTAGTCATGCTTAAATGCACGTGTAGATGCACCCCTAGTCTCACACCCTCTCCCTGACAGTAGCCAGCACTTGGTGCTTCTGAGGAAGGTGGCAGATCCCTTCAGTGGGTAAAAATGGAATAATCTACCCCCTGGTTCTAGGTCTCATCTGATCTCTCTTACATGATGCTCAAGCCCTGAGCCATAAGTTTTGTTATCCCACATGCAATATAACAGGATTGCCATCCTTTTGAATAGTGTGTGAGTGCTCTAGTAGTTCTCTAATGTTTGTTTCAAAACTGTATCACCAGGAACCTGCCAGAGAGGCAGTGTATCTGGACAGGTAAGCCTATATATCATGTATGTTCAGTGTACGTGCTTATTTGAATCGCACCATGCTCATGTGGTTCCTTTGTATCCTGAATTCTCTGACAAGAACAAACACAAGACCTTTCAAAATTCTAAGTCCCATTACCTGTTGACTTCACAGTTAGCCATTTAACTGTCTGATGCCTTTCCCCTATGTTGAATACCAGTGATGCCCAGTTGCAATGAGTTCTGTGGTCTCAATATGTGCAGGCTGAAAAAGTTTTTATCAGTTTTGAATTTGCCAGCTTTAAACTCATCAGGCCAACTTCTACTAGCTGAGAATCCAGACTATTATCTCTTTTTTTTCCTTAAATTAGAGGTAGGTGGTGAGAACATGAAATCCGGTGGTTGGAGTACAAGAGCAGAGGTCAAAATGCATGGACCCCTTCTACTACTCTCTCTCAATGGCTTTGTTTATGCCACAGAAAATGACCAGTGACATTTGTTTCATCTAAAAACAATGATGAAACACATCACCTACACAAGAAAGTGTTTTGAGTGGTTTACAAAGAGTCTAATGTCTATTATTGTAAACTGAGCTTCAACAGGGCTAAATAATGCTGGGACATCAATTCCTTCAGCCTCCATTGTTTTAGTACTGCAGTCTATCAGTGACCCAGTAAAATCTCCCAGAACACACTGTGGGGTAAGGAGCACATAAATTATTTAATATTTGAATGCATGCAGGACAAATATTCAAGGATTTCTAATGTATTTCAGGGTGGTTGGGTGCATTCCCACTAATCATTAGATCTTAAACTGGTTCAGTGCAACTCGTTCAATTCTCTTATGTTGAGGAGGTCCAAGTAATCTTAAGTGCTTACTCTCTCTGCTTCCATTTACTCATCTAAAAATAATATATTAACCCCTGCCTACATCACTGGATGTTGTGATACTTAATATTGGTAAAGGTATCTAAAATCACAAAAGGAAAGATACATGAAAATGTGTATTAATATTATTCTACAGCAAGCAATTCTTAGATTTCCTAAACCTTCCTAGAACACCACTGTTCTAATGCATGAATACAAAACACTTTCAAGAACATTCATCTTTGCTCTATATTTTCACCTCTGAAAGAATCCTTTGAAGATTTCTTTAGCAGAAGATCTGGACCAAAATTTCAGGAAAGTAATGGTGCACGCAATGCAAATCAGTGATATTTGATATCTGGAGAGATGCAAGGGGGAGAAGAGAGGAGGGATGGAATAGCAGAGAGATAAACTGGATGAAAAATGGGAGGAAGGACAGAAAAAAAATCAGAGAAATAGTAACTGAAGATAGGGGAAAGAGAAAATAAAGGAAGAAGGAGAGAGGGAGAGGAGAGCAGCAATGCAAAGGAAAGAAGAAAGCACGGATGAGAGAAGGGAGAGGTGGATATATAAAAGCAGAAATAAAAGCAGACATGTAAGGTTTACAGAGCTAGAACAGCACTTA